AGGAAGAGATCTGGGCTAGCTGGAACAATAGTTGTTTTTTGTGGATCCCAAGACGTGTTGGTGTTTTGACACAAATTAATACATGTAGGTGCATGAGTTAAAAGAGGGGCCAACAATTCTTCTTTGGTCATTGATGTAGTGATTTTGGAATCACTCATCACCCATTCACAGTTTTTGTTGACCATGTCTGTACCAGGCATCTCAAATGACTCAGGAGTGGCAGCAGCAGTAATCGGAGGAAGATTTTCATGCGGCAGAACAATTTTGTAACCATCCTGTTGGCAAGTTCCTTGATCAATAGAAGAATGGATAAGAAGATCTGGGCTAGCTTGATCAATTGCATCAACTGATTTCTGTGGATCCCAAGATGTGCCTGTGTTTTGATGCAAATCGATAGAGGTAACTGTATCATTGACATTGGAAGTCAGATTATGCAAGGGAGGTACATGTAGCACCAATTCTTCCTTGGTAGTGGATGTGGTAATTGTATGATCATGCATCCCACATTCACTACTTTTGTTTTTTGTGGTTGCACAAGGCATCTCATGTAACTTGGCAATGGCAGCAGTAGCTTCAAAAATCCTGACATTTTGAGCATTATTGTTGAGCTTATCATTGGCATCGTTTTGAGTGCATGAAAGTGTTTCGTTGGTCACCCGAACTGTCTCTCCTCCATTTGCACAATCAGAACTTGGTGAAACTGGAGAAGGAGGGACTTGTTCTACAGGAGAAGGAGGGTCTTTTTCTGCATGAGAAGGAGGGTCTTGTTCTGCATGAGAAGGAGGGTCTTGTTCCGCAGGAGAAGGAGAGTCTTGTTCCGCAGGAGAAGGAGGGTCTTGTTCTGCATGAGAAGGAGGGACTTGTTCTACAGGAGAAGGAGGGTCTTGTTCTGCATGAGAAGGAGGGTCTTGTTCCGCAGGAGAAGGAGGGTCTTGTTCTGCTTGAGAAGGAGGGTCTTGTTCTACAGGAAAAGGAGGGTCTTGTTCCGCAGGAGAAGGAGGGTCTTGTTCTACTTGAGAAGGAGGGACTTGTTCTACAGGAGAAGGAGGGTCTTTTTCTGCATGAGAAGGAGGGTCTTGTTCTGCATGAGAAGGAGGGACTTGTTCTACAGGAGAAGGAGGGTCTTGTTCTGCATGAGAAGGAGGGACTTGTTCTACAGGAGAAGGAGGGTCTTGTTCTGCATGAGAAGGAGGGTCTTGTTCCGCAGGAGAAGGAGGGTCTTGTTCTGCTTGAGAAGGAGGGTCTTGTTCTACAGCAGAAGGAGGGTCTTGTTCCGCAGGAGAAGGAGGGTCTTGTTCTGCATGAGAAGGAGGGACTTGTTCTACAGGAGAAGGAGGGTCTTTTTCTGCATGAGAAGCGCGGGTCTTGTTCTGCATGAGAAGGAGGGTCT